TCGATACGTTCACGCGATTGTAGGCTCCGCGGCAGAAGCCCGCTGGGCCACGGAACTTGTAAATCGCAAGATTTTGAAGGGAAGTACGCTCGCATATCCAAGGCATGCGTGGTAGAGCGCAGAGGCTTCGGCATATTCAAGTAACGGACGTATGCAACAAAGTCTGATTGCAGAAGGGCGTGGGGGACAACTCTCATTTGAGTGTGCAACGTAACGAGCACTGAGACATTCTGATGCATGCCTAGGCCGCCGATGGTAGTGAATACACCCATGCTCAGGAAAGCCTGAAGTCGTGAAATACGTGTCTCAGTTCATTCAGGAATGAAGCTCACCCGTTTTCGCAATGCCCACCCCTATCGCTCGCAAGTAACTTGATTCCTTCGAGACTACTGATGTCGTAGCCCCTTAGTGTTAGATCTGTGCATGCTCCTCAGCGCGACAGTCGGCATGGGAGAGGTCAAAAATGCTACCGACGCGATGCCATTTAAGGCATATCACTGATAATTAGTGTTATGTAATGTAATTGACTTGATCTTCAAGCTCAAGCATAAGCGCTCGAGTTCGGTCTCTGCATCCTGCCCTTTCGCGGTCGCTAGGCCAGTGCATGCCCTGCGCTCCTGATGCTTTGCACATATTTTGAGGCTGTCAATTTGTCATTCGAGAGAAAGTGTTCCCCTTCCCTTTCCTACATAGGTTACCCTGAAAGCACAAGGACAAACTCAAAGCTCGGGCTGAACCCTTTTATGAGCTAACGGGGAGCCCACACCATTCACAACGCCGAGTAAGCTTCCGCATCTCCGCTCCTCGTAGTAGTTTAGAAAGATACTAAAAGTGCTATCGGCGGCTGTGGATTGTATGAGCACACGCGGACGGTGGCGCAACAAAGCATGTTCAAGCTCATGGAATCGTACCATCGACGCTCGGGGTGCTCGGACGATGATGTATTGGTAAGTCTGCTATGGCAGCTGCACTTCTCGCCCAACAGGGATCTATTTTACAGGTGACGCTTGCTGGCACCAGGTAGGACGAGTCCGGTCTCACAGAAGAGCAGGCGGAGACCTGGCTGCATCATCCTTTGATATTTTACCGCTCCCTTCCAGGCGATTTATTGAGACCTGGAAAGGTATCGCGCCGTTGCGTGAGATCCCGGTCAATACAGCTGCGCAGGGTATGTATCATCGTGCGCTTATGCGTGCTCAACTGACTGGTAGAGGTCCAGACCTCCTGCGTACACATTCGTCGCTTCTCATGCTTCTCATGGACATCGACGACTGATTTATGATCGTTGATATGATTCGACATCCTGACCATCCCGCCGAATACGCCATCCCCGGCAAGCGACGCCGTGACGTCAGGCTTCGGTTACCCAACGCGCTAGAGGGTCAGCGGGGATGGTCGCGTGCATGTGGCCTGGCCTCTGGTCCCTGAAAGCGAAGCGCTACCTGTTGGTCGGGAGTTAGTGCTAGTCGTCTCAAGACACCGGAATCACACTGTGGGCTGCCCTCAGCAAATGCGGAAAGCCCCACCTGTCACCCATCGCTCAGCTGCTTTGCATCTCTGGCTTTGTTATCCAGAGTTTTCATGGTCAGTATACACAGTAAATTATCGAAACTCTCCCCGTCAGTACTCACCTTTTCCGCAAATCAGTGAGCTTGTGAACCAACATTTGCCTGTGTCTGTAGAACGCTCTTCCCCGCGGCATTGCTAACTTATACACCTATCGTATCTCCAGCTGTACTTTAGTAGCGGATACAGTAGATTAGGTTAACACACAGCTGATGACACGGTGCAGAGGACGCGCTAGAATCACTTACAGTTTCGTCGCCGCACATCAGCCCAATCTCGACGACATCTGCGATCGCAGCAGGGTGTCTAGGCCCAAAGTTCTCCACATCGGTTGCTAGCTTAACTCACAGTCTGGATACGCTCATGCCCCGCTTTTCCATGGAATGGAACACGAGCATTGCTTTTGCTCTATTCCCCCCCCCCCAAAAAAAAAAAAATAAAAAAAAAATAGTCTCATTCCCACGATAGACCTAATGAATCATGACGCTCCTGAGTCCTGAAGTCACTCTGGCTTCAGAGGACACTTTCCTTACTTAAATATCAAGGTCTTTCTTACCTCCGAGCATAACAGGCTACCTCTCACAAGTTCATTCATAGTACACTGGTGGTCGCTCGCCTTCAACTAACCTCGCCGATGGTCTGGGTCAGGGCTGGGTATAACCCCTCTGCAGCGACTACGATTGGCACGGCTAGCCAAGAGCGCCCCAGGCTTTCGTTGAACTCACACTGCTTGCAATTGGAGGAGCGTGCACAACAGGGATCAACCTGGTGGGAAGAAATAATGTCAAACAAAAGATAGGATGGTAACATTTTGAAAAGAGACGAAACTAGGGAGTCAAACGCACCTGGTAAGGGGCTGAGACCACAACGACGACAATCCCTTCACTTCGAGGCGCAGATCTTTAGTCCCGCGGCAAAGCTTGCTTGATGAGTTATGGGGCCCGCCCCTCGGAGCAGAGAAAGCTAGACTTCAAGAGCGAGTTCGTAACCTCTGGGACTCCCAAGCTACCCCGCCTACACTAGCTGTTACCATACAAGCTTCCGTTCAGAACGAAAGTTCTAAACACTTGCTACATAATGTCGTGCTAAGCGTCTCTGTCAAAGGGGTAAGGGGGACGAGACACTTATCCTGATCGGGAAGGTCGTCACCTGGTGGCGCTAGAAATGATGTGCCATCAGCCGACGTCGGTCACCCTTCTGTCGGCCATCCACCCTACCAAGTCCGTATGCCCCCAACGTTCAACCTCCAGCCTCAGCTTCAGCTCAAACAAGTTTGCTCCTTTGCTTCATCTCTACGGTTCTTTGCGACACTCAATGCATCTGGCATGTAGACGCTCATGGCGCCGATAAGTACTGATTGGCTCGCGCATATCTAAACTCTCCGTGTAGAATCCTCTCCATAGGATCGATTAGGTTGTTATGCGACGCTGAGAGAAAACAAGGAGGTATTGTTTGGCTAGCTCCTTCCAGCTGCGGTGCTCTGCTACCCGTGAGAGCGTGGGGTATACGCCATTAGCCTGTTGTAGCCGCCAGTTCGAAATCAGCGATGGCCTTATTGGAATGAGCGGTCTAAGGCACGCGTACAACACCTGTTGCAGGTTTTGTGGCCCGATATCTTGTTGTCCGTAGATGGTACGCGGCCGATAGCGGACCAATCTCCGGGTCGTCAGGGTTGCCCGACGACTTACGAGATGGTCTCAGCATCATGTCTGGGACCACTCGACATCTGGAGAGATACCCGGAAAGCCGAGCTACATGGCAGGCTCGAGGATCGCTGACATGGGCACGGGACGCTCGCTCTTACGCGAGTACGGTCCGACTTCTCTGGTGTCTCAGCTCAGGATGTAGGGTCATCACCAGCTCTCAAAGCCCGCGGGCGGCCCGACAGGCTCGGGTTCGTGCCGACATGCTCGACAGTCCGCGTACTCCGAGTCGCTCTCACGAATGCTTGCACAGTATATCAACCAGAAGCGATGGCTTTCGGTCCAGGAGCCGAAGCTGGTGCAGGGCCAGCAAAAACGTCGGCGCTAGGTCTCGGACGACCAGGAGGTGCTGCTGCAGGCAAGACTGCTAGTGCATTAAACCTGATACTGGTTCTTGCGTCATAATTTGTTCACAGAACTTCTAATATCTTGTGCTACGCTTAACTCCCCAAGCGATGCACCGACGCATTGCGGTCAGTTCTTTTAATAGGAGTGCCTGGGCTCCGACTTCGCTCGGCTAGCGAGTAGTCGAGCATGTTGATCCCACCGTAACTCCAACAGTTCCTTAAACTCTCATTCGCTCCTGGATAATAGCTCACACGACAATGGCAAGCATAAAGCCTTATTGCAATAGTTCGGATAGTCATGCCGGTGAACGAATGGCCATTCCCCTCGCGGCGCCTGATCTGCACCAGTGGGAAGGCGCGGTCCTCGTCAAAACCACAGTGTCATTCCCACCAATCAGCGACTTGCCGCAGGCCCTGCAGGGTACAAGAAGCCTTTCGGGCCTCTGGTTCCGCAGGCAACCGCGGCTCGGCAGCGCCAGGAAGGCGACTTTTTTCCTTTCATAGTCCGTACTGCAGATCATCTAGATGTGGCACCCGAACCGGACAACTGGTGTACCGCCTGGCAGATGGAGAAGAGATGGGGATCTTGGGTAGACCTCGCATGCACATTGCCCACCCTGAGAGACTCCCTGTGGCCCTATCGTCCTCCGTGGCGAGTCGGGCCGCGCTTGCTATCTGGACGACCGGCGAGTTTTTCCTTCGCACACCCTATAGGAACATCCCTGGACAAATGTGCTTATCACGCAACTAAGGTTCCGCCTTCTGCTCCGTGTGTGATGAGCGCGACCGAATCTGACTTTATGGCTATGATAGAGTTTTCTCCCGACCATCTCGCGGGTCGTGAATATCTTGATGTTGGAGGCGGCTAAAGAAGTTCTGCGGCTCTCAGGCTGGAGTAATCTCGCGGTGGGCATGGCGCTGGCCCTCGTTGGCCGATAGCAGATAACTCCAAAGTTCGTATCAGTACAACGCGAAAAATGGTGGTACACAGTGCGTTAATCTAGTTTCTCTGGAGCTGTGCCAGTGTGCCCGCCATACTCAGTGATGCGTCCGAGCGGGTCGGTTGATACCCTCTCCTGCCGCAGCTGCGGGACCTGTACAGCGAATTCATCCGTGTCTGACTACGGTCTAGCCATTTGATTTTTTTAACACCGCATGACGCTGCACCAACCAACATGAGAAAATAAATTACACGTCATTACGATAGTCCTTCCCAGTGGCACGATCACGTGCGGCCATGATGAGCGCGACGCGCCGTGATGAAGACCGAGGAAGTTGGTCGCTTGGGCTGGCGCCAGCATGGTTTTAGAAAGCTACTAAACAGTTTGAGAGTACCGTTATATACAAGTAATTCAAGTTTGCCATCCTACGTGGCCGCCCAACTTGCAAGGCATAACTTCCCCTGAATACGTTTGTTATTAATTTCAGTACGAAGAACTAGCTGTAACTACACGCTGAACCATAAATAATGCTAACACAACAACCCAATGAAAGAATCCTGTGAAAGACAATGTTCCCCCAAACACCAATAAAAACAAAGTTATGTGTCTACAGCGACAGGATCGAGAATGCCAGAACGAAAGACAGCAGGGTGAGTTCTCGTACGGGAAGGAGCTGTACGAATCCGTTCGTGGTGTCTCCGGCTCCGGCAGTGGGGCTCGGGACGGACGAAGTACTAGGTGTACCAGAAGAGCCAGAAGAGCTCGTAGGAGAAGTGGTATTCGTGCTATTGAAGATGGTCGTCTCTCCGTTCAGTGAAAAGGCGCGGGTAGATGCTAGCTCAAAGTAGGCGTTGGCGTACTGGGAGGTGCCGTTGAAGATGACGTTATCGAGATACTTCATGTATGACGTCGGTGAGTGGAGTTAACACAAGAGCAAGGGGGAACTTACGCATGCATTCGGTTGCGTATCGCCGCAGGTCTGAGCGTAGACACCGGGAGCATCAGCCCTGGTAGATGGCCGATAAGTCTCGCAAACCAGCTAACGAGAGCGATGCTCACCATTGACCGCAGAGTACAATGTCTATGATGAGCTTCTGGGGCCCAAAGAAGCTCGCGGTATCACAGGACGAGCCGGACACAAAGGAGGCCGAAGGCGTTGGCCAGCCAGAGATGTCGAGCGAGTTCGTCGCAGCCGTGGGAGATTGAGGTACCGCTTTGCGCTGTTGCGTTTACGGGTCAGTGAGGGAACATCGTACCGAGCGGCGCGTGGCATATAAGAGCAGTGCCACTCACGGGCCAAAACCAAATACTATTCGGTAGACCGGTCAGAGGACCTCTACGATGAGCACATTTGACGTACTATATACCGCTGACATCCCACTGGGCGGCGAAGACACCTCCACCATTGTTCGCGAAATCCTGTCCGTAGCTGTTCGCCGTTGTCTCTTGCTGAGATCACCAGTCATTTCCATGCCAACCGGTTGGAAATAGCGATACTTACCACCGTGCAGCCCTGTGCGAGAGAGCAGTTGGTTTGGGTAAGTTTGCCCGCTTGACTATCTCCTGCCTCAATATTGCAGCCATTTCTGGTGTGTACGGCCATCTGGTTGAAGTTCATTAGGTTGACTGCCTCGATGATGTCAATCTCGCCATTGTTCGGCCAATCATCGCCCGACGACCATATGCTTGGCCATACCTGGAGTTTTCGGTATTAGTGAATTACTCGTGAACGCATCGGGCGACCTACAGAGTAGCCCCAAGGGATGTGATGGGCGTCGATGACCCATACCGTCCCGACCCCAAAGTACTGTTGGGTGGTAAGGTGTACCTGAAAGCAGAGCACACAGTGGTGAGAACATTGGTGCATACGGAATACGAATCTGAAGCGCACAGAGTTGCGTTTGTCATTGGAAAGGACATAAGTAGTATTGTCAACCTTGATGACTGCATTGCCCGCGGAATTCAAGAACGTCAGATTGCCGGAATCGGCCCTGGTGACATACAACTCGTCGCCTGTAATATACGTGTAAAGGTCTGAGACCTGGATTCAGGTAATCTGAAAATGGAGTCTGACCGGAAGTGGTGGCATCATAACCACCATAGTAGTCCCAATCGTCGAAAAAGCTCGACCCCGAATAAGTCTTGACAAGGGTAAAGTTGCTCGCGAGGGCGGCCAGGACATAACACAAGAGCACAATACTCAAGATAAGCAGCGACATCGCGATGCCCAGGCTTCAGACAGATGGCTTCCTACAGGACGTGCTATTAAGAGGGGCAGAAAGAGGATGAAGAGAACATAGTTGTGCCTTTAGGGGATTTAAGATAATGGCCGATGTTAAGATGCTGCAGACCCACTATATTCCGACAGATGCACATGATCCGACTGTCCAACCTTCTGCCTTCCACATTGATCGGAGGAATTTCGAGTCATTGTATTCGTCTACACCGCTTGAGTTCAGATGGCGAGCCTGCTCTGAATTGCTCTAGATCGTGAGAACTACCATGTTCAGTAAATTTTTTCGCCGCTCAGTACGCACGGTTTTGTGATGGTACCGAGGCTCGTATGGCGGTGACGGCTCAAAGCCGAGTATACTAGGCGTTAAAACGACAACACCCTGTACCCATATGTGTATTCTCGTGTCAGATGAGACGAAGGAACGTCAAAAGGCAACCTAACTTGAGGACGTACCCATACGGTTGCTTCAAGCCGCGGCGCTATTGATGAGCGCCGAGCATTGATTACAGCTGAAGCTGAAGCTAGCTTTGGGAGTTGTTGAGCACCCAGGCCTCAGTAGACTTCAAGTCTGAGTCTGCGCGGCAGTGGCGGGAGCAGCCTGGCCAAGTACGGGTCTTGAGGCAACGGAGTTGTGGCGCGGGATGTCCCGGTGTTTCAAATTTCTATATGCGCCTAAGTCAAGCCTAACTTCAAAGTTTCCGCTAGCGCTGTAGCCTCAGGCTGACGGTTTATCTTTACGACCAACTTGGATGTGTGTAGCTCGAGCACCTCCCAATATCAAACTACCTATGTGCTGGCACGTTCCATTTGCTTTGC